AGGGGGGTTATACCATTTTACACTCTCAATTATACTTACATCTGGTTATTTAACCAAGAAATATGAAACATATGTCCACAAAAAAATTAATACAAGAATGTTCATTATAACTTTATTCTTTTTATAATTTTATTTTATTTGAATTCAATAAATTAACATCTAGTGTATTATTAGTTTCAGAGGTAGATTTCAGTGACTCATCAGTTGCGTGTAACACCCAGCGCTCATTACATCACGTGCCGTCCTTAACACCCATCACCCAGTTACCCTGCGCCCCCATCCATCTCTCCTCCATTAACCCTCAGTTTGTTTCTCATAGTTAAGGGCCTCTTATGGCTTATCTCCCTCTCTGATTTTGTCTTATATTGCAACCTTATTCTTAACAGTAAGAAAAACTGTAAACAGTCCAAATATTCATTTAACAAGGGAATGGCTAATCAAGCTGTAGTATATTCATATAATGGAATACCACTTGATTTCAGCAAAAGAAGGAGTTTAGGGACAATATGAATGAGTCTCAGAAACCTTATGCTGAGTCAAAGAAGTCAAACACAAAAGGGCATTTACTGTATAATTCCATGTATACGAATTTCAAGAACAGACAAATCCATGCAGATAAAAGTTGGGATAGCACTTTCTTCCAGTCTGGGGACAGGGACATGCGGCTGGATGATGGCAATGCTCTATATTTTGATTGGTCAAAAATAATTGAGTTTTACACTTAATATCTGTGCATTTTCTTATACATATTTATGCCTCGCTTACACACACATACACACACAAATGCATACAGTAACACATGAAAACACCCCCTTCTTCCCTGATCTATTCCCTTCCTCAGTGGTAACCACTGTTTACAGACTGGTGTGGAGTTTCCATCAGTTTTCATTTCAGTGGATGTGTGTATATATACATCCAAATAGGTTTTTATATTTTAACATAAATAAGATCAGACTATATGGATTATTCTGCTACCTGCTTTCATTTTTGATTAGTGATATGTCTTGAAGGGTTTTCCATGTCCATACTTAAGTTTTGTCTTAATTTTTTAGGTTAGCTTGGAGTTCCAGAGTATGAATACACTTGATTTCTTCAGCCAGTCTCCTGCTTGACAATTTGGCAATTTTCAATTTTCACTTTGACAGTGCTATAATGAAAATTTTATACATAAATATTTGTGCATATGTGCAAGCATTCTTGTAGACTACTTTCCTAGAAGTGGGTTTGCTTGGGCAAGAGGTATGGACATTTTGGTGGATACTGCCAAATTGGTTTATAATTTTGCAACCAATTTTTGTCAATTATACTCTTTCTAACCACATATGACAGAGCTAGATTCTGGCCTTCTCTCTAACAATAGACATTATGAATCTTTAATGTTTTTGAGAGTACATAGGTTAAAAAAAATGGTATCTTTTTCTGCTGAGATTTAAAAAAAGAGAAGTTTTGATTTTCTTCTTTATGTAAAATATACACATGCATGTATGTACTTCCCGCTCCACACTCCTTCCCACCTCTGTAATTCTGGAGGCCTCAAAGCCTGATACTTTCCCACCAGCAAGTTAGGGAATACTTCCTAATTTTAATTTTAATTTGATGGATTGTTCTAGTGAATAGCAGGATTCTGTCCTCTCTGACATTCTTTATTAATATAGTAGCCATAGTTGTTAATCTTGATATCTATTGGAATTTTTTATTTTATTTAATCCAAGCTCCTTAGTGATGGCTGAATTTTGAAAAGTGACATGACTTGCTTTATGAAACTCGTCAGTCTAAGCTGAATGATGAAAACTGATCCTACCACTGGACTCTCTAACTAACCTCCATTTGCCCCTCCTCCGTAATGGCTTTCTTAATAATTTGCATATTGAATATATTTGTAATGGTGTTTCCCTGAAGGAAAAGTGCCATCCCAAGGAGACTTTATTTCGGAACATGGAGCAGGTCAGTTTCTGGCAGAGCTTTGGAATCTGAGTTGCCTAGTAAGTGGGAATTTGGGAAGTGGCTATCAGTGATAATTCTCTTCTGAGGCAGTATTGCCAGAGCGCTTTGCATTCTGCACCCCCAGGGGTTCTGCCTTGCTGAGTTTAGCACAATAGAGAGCTGTACTGAGTTTAGCCCAGTTTATTTATGCATGTGGGTTTACTTCTGCAGGTGGGGGGAGATGCAGGGAGTGATAGGTCACTGACAGATTTTATTCTTGGAGATGCTGGAATTATTACTAGCAAAAATCACAATGGTCATTCCTTCAAGAAGTGTCTAGTGAGCTTCTGGGGTGGGGGGACTTTGTCTTCACCAGGAAATCTCATATTTTTAAATTTCATGACTTCTGTACCTGCCTCTCTCTCTTCCTATCTCATAAATTGCTGTTTCAGCCTATGCTTCAGGTAGCCCTGGGGCTTCTCTGAGGGGTACCTGAGAGAGTGACTGTCTAGAGGTGAGGCTCTGCTCCCCTGTCTCTCCCACCCGTTGTCTTTTTCCTACCTCTGCCAGTGCTATACTTCTCCTCTTTTGGTTTTCAAGTAAGCTTTTACTAGAAGAAAGAGTTCTGCTGCTAGAAATATATTTGAAAGCCATAGCACTCCTGCAAAGAAGTGTGTATATATAGGTATCTGTTGATATTCTTGTGTACAAAGACAAGATGATTATTTTCATCACCTTGCTCTGCATCCACCTAATTGGCAAAATCCTGAACAGTGCCATTCAAAGCTCAGCTTTTCTTTTCCAATCACTAGTGTCCTACTTCAGGCCGCATTTGAAGGAATGGTTGGAGAATATGGAGGATAGGCCTCCATCATAATGTCCAAACTTCAGTTACCCATTATTCTTAGTCACTCATTTATAATTCAGAGAAGCTTTAAAGGATGCATGGATTTGGAAGTTTATTTTTTAATTTTTGGATTGAAAAATACTGCAGTATCCCTGAAAGTAAGATCTTTGTATTTTCAGACTGCTTTGGGAGAGTTCTTTATGCAAATGATATTTGCAATAATAATCTATTTTCTTTTCAGTGGTACTTGGGAACAAAACGTTTTAGCAGTTGGTTTTATTTAAGTCTGTGCTTCAAAGTTATAAAAAGTATTTCTTTATAAAAAAAATGTCCTCTACTTATACAATCTTATTAATAACACTGACCTCTCCATCACATCCTATTATTGGACATGGACCTTATTTCCTGAGCTGGGAAATGTGCTTGCCTCGGGTTAGTATGAGTTTTGGAAATACTATATCCTTGTTCAGTTAGGAAGCAAGAGGTTGTTCTCAACATCTTTATAGGAACCAAAAGATAATTTTCTAAAAGAAGATTAGCATGTAAACTTGAGTTGGTAGTTTCAGATGTGGATGTTACTGTATTGGGTAAAAAAGAGGAAATGTCAGATAAAATTTATCTTTTTATCATTGATAAAAGTTATCCAATCCAAATGTTGATGGTTAGATCTCTCTCACCACAATCCTCATAATAAATGTCACCAGAAATTGTTAAATCACTGCTTCAGCCAGTACTGTAAGTTTCATAAGGACCAAAATGTGCAGAATATTTTCATCAGCAGGATTTCTTTTAGATGATCATTCAGCTTAATAAGTTCTCTTGACGTTCATTTTCTTGGAGTGAGAGTGAGTAGGGGACTATATAATTTTATGAGGACAACAAATAAACATTTCTTCTTAAACATGGCTTTCATTTGATTAGTAATTGTTTTAATTTGACATGTTTGCTGTGTATCATGCAGTTCTCATCTCGTGCACATTTCCTTGAGAACAGTGATTTTCTCTTGCTTTGGGAGTCAGAGCTCAGTGACAGAGGCTGACTTAGGAATGCCTGGGGATTGGGGGCGGGGGAGAGTTCGAAGGATCCCAGAAGATTCTGTTTTGCGGCCCTCCTATTTGGAATCAGTGCTCCCAAGCCCTCTGTACTGCCCTCCTGCCTCCTCACGTGTGAGATTAGATTTATACCAGCTGCCATGGACATGGTTGCCTAAATCTGTGGAATGTTTTGCTAAACGCTGCTGGTGAAATAGTCCACGTTAAACCTAGAACTCCTCCTCCCACTATTTTAACCCATCCTTTGTCCTTAGTCTTTTACTCACTTGATCACTTTATGATTTTGCACTTTGACATCCTATAGATTCATTAAGAACTTTTATTCCAAGCACCAGGGCTTTACATAACATGATGATTAGCCAAAGTGTTATTCTGTTTGAGCTAAGTGATGACAATGTATTTGATTGGAGCCTTGTAATTGTTATTTTAAAATCAAAGTAATGGATTATGATCTCAGAATGGGAACATGATCCAAAAGAATAATAATAATTAGATGAGCAACCACTTAGAAGAAAATAAATGCCCCGTCATAGACCAGGGGCCTTGTGTTCCCCTGAGTACTGCCTACCTTTACAATCCCAGGTTCTCAGGGAGAGTGGGTTCTCATCCCCCTTGCCCTGGGCTAGCCTTACTGCAGCCTTCCAGTTCCTTGAAGTAGTTGGTCCCTTCTTGCCTGGGGAATTTCACTTGCTGCTCCTTCCACTTGGGGAGCACCTCCACTGGTGATTTCTTGGCTGGTCACTTGGAGTGTTTCCCATTGTCTTGCCTCCTTAGGGAGATTTCTTGGCCACAGTACCTAAAGTCATCTTCCTGTCCCATGCCTGTCCACACATACAATGCACATCATCATCTGTCACAGCATGTGATTTATTTCCTCTCCTTTAGGAAACCTAAGTTGTGTCTCCTTGATACTGGTCTGTCACTCCCACTGGACTTCAAGCTCCATGAGTTGGGTGAAGACTATACATGTCTCATTCACCATGGCAGCCCCAGTGCCATCTTGGCACTTGGCATTAAGTGGGTGCTCAATACATACTTGTGGTTGAATTAATGGAATATTCTAAAGTTCCAACTTTTTCTGAATCCATATCAATATATTCTATCTTTAGTACTTCTGTTGTGATAACATATGATCTTCCAGTGGTTGAATTTAACCACAGTCTGCTGACTTTTCTCAGGCATATGAAGGATCAGAATAAGAAGGTGGCCAACCTCAAGCACAACCAACAGTTGGAAAAGAAGAAAAATGCCCAATTACTGGAAGAAGTCCGCAGGCGAGAAGATAGCATGGCTGACAACTCACAACACTTGCAGGTGAGCTCAGGCTTCTCCTCTTAAAACCTAAATAATAAAAGATTGACTGTCTCTGATATATACCCATTGGCTGTGGAAAAATACGAACAGAAATGGGGGACTTGCCTTAGCTTTGAGTCCAGTAGTAGCAGTGTGCTCCCAGAGAACCCAATAGGTCTTTATAGCTGTGGGGCATCATTATCGGGATGGTGCCCAAGAAGAGCTGATTATGGTGGAAACTATAATACTGCACAGTCTATTGGTTTCTATACCTCACTTTAAAAGGTAAGGACTGTGTTTATATAGTTGGCAAGAAGCTCAAAACATAGAAATGTCCTCCTTTTAGAATTATATTTCAGTGGTTTTGGCGTTAGTAGAAGGGAAATGTATGTGTATTATCATAGAAGGTATTTGAAAAAGGAGGCATTAAGTTGATCTCAGTTTACAAAACTGGTTTTGTTTTGTTCAGAACTCTGAGGCTCTCAGACAGATCATTATTCTGTCTTCTCTGTGTAATATAGTTATCTCTGAATGGACAGCCCTATCTCAGAAACCAACTGGCTGACTGAAAACACCAATTTTTCCTCATTAACCATCCCTATTTTTGGCAAAGGAGCTCTCCTCATGTGCTCAATAAAACATTCAAGCTAAAACAGGGCATTTGCTTTGAAGTTCCTTTATTTATTCCAGTGTGCCTTTAAACAGAACAGTTCAAGTTCAACTTGGCCGGAGTTCATGTTAAATTTTGCTTATTAATTAGTGTCTTTCTCCAGTTATATATTAGGTTTCCTCCTTGGAGATAGAAGGAGTTAGATAGTTTTAGTATGTATTCAGTTCATCTTTTTAATTGACCAAAAGGGAAATAAATAATTATTCTAGAGTAGGAAATAAAAGGAAATGTCTTGCACAGAGCATGGCACATGGAGGTTACTTAGTCAATATTAGTTTCTTTTTTCTCTGTGTCCTAGAGGTGCCTTAATGGTTTCAATCAAGGCACTTTGCCCGGATGGTTGATTTGGTTAGAACAATAGTAGCATCAGGTCCTTTGTTCAGGCTTGGGAACACCTGAGCATGGACTGGTAGCTTATTCAAATCCACAGCTTTCTCAATATTCTTGTCCCAGGATTTGGGTCTTAGTTTTCCCGCCAGTCATATGACATATTAGATTGGAACCTGGAGACTGAGATCACAAGAACTAAAACCTATAGAATGTTTTATTGCTTTGCCAGGCAAATATTCTTTTTTTTTTTTTTAAGATTTTATTTATTTATTTGACAGACAGAGATCACAAGTAGTTGGAGAGGCAGTCAGAGAGAGAGGGGAGGAAGCAGGCTCCCCGCTGAGCAGAGAGCCTGATGCGGGGCTCTATCCCAGGACTCTGGGATCATGACCTGAGCTGAAGACATGGCTTTAACCCACTGAGCCACCCAGGCGCCCCCAGGCAAATATTCTTATTTGTTCCTCACCACAGTGTTGGTGATTTTACATTTGGTAAACTGGGTCAGCCTTCGAGAAACTAATGTAGAGGAATAATCACTGTAGTAGTTATCATTTACTGAACTTTTCAGTATACTGGGTGCTATGTAGCTTACAGCACCTATTTAATTCTTTTTTTAAAAAGATTTCATTTATTTGAGAGAGAGAGAGCAGAGCGAGTGAGAAAGAGCACAAACAGGAGAGGGAGATGCAGACTTCTGCTGAGAGGGAGCCTGAGGAGGGACTCGATCTCAGGACCCCCCGGTATCATGACCTGAGCAGAAAGGCGGATGCTTAACTGACTGAACCACCCAAGTGCTCCAGCACCTATTTAATTCTTATGAGTTGGGTTAGTTGGGACCCTTAGCTTGATAGGAACACAAGTCAATCTGAAGTAAGCAAAAAAGGGAATCAATTAACTGAAAAGGCCAGGTGGACTGCAGGCTACACTCAGATATTCCCACACTGGCATCAGGAATCTGTCTCCATCCTACTCATAAGTGTGCTTGGCTCTTTGTTGCTTTGATTCTTAAGAGAGCTGTCCACAGTGATGCCAGTCATGGCCACCAGCAGCCAGCCTCCAATGTGAGTATAGTCATGCTCAGAGAGGAGAAACCATCTTTCTTAGTGATTCTAGCAAAAGTTCAAACTGAAAGAAGGGGTATATTGGCCAGGCCAGGATGTGATCACCTGGAGCCTAGGGGATACAGGTTAGCCACACCCAAATCCTATGGTGACCTCACACAAGAAAGAAAGGAGTGTGTTACTAGAAGGCGTGCTGCACAGTAGAACCGTAGAGATCCACTATAGCCATCTTATGGGAGAGATAACCTGTTATCCCATTTGATATATGAGAAGAAGGAGGCTCTGAGAGGTTCCATAACTTGCCCCAAATTACTTAACTAGTAAGTGGCAGAGCCAGGACTCAAAAACTTAGATCTGACTGTCTTTAGATGGTGAGAGTTCGGGAACAGAGTTCTAAAAGAGGGTGACAAGAAAACTGTGGAGTGGCAGAGAGTCTTCATGGAGCAGGTGGGGTTAGAGCTGACGTGGGAGGGACACAGCCATAGGGAAGGCACTTCAGGCAAGAGAACTGTCAACAAAGGTGTAGAGGCTGCATAGAGCAAGCTACAGGAGGGCACAAAACATAACAGACTGATTGACTGTAGTGTCAGTTTTCAGTGAAGTTAGTGTTACCATCTTTCTTTAACTGACTCTGGGGCTAGAGTGCCCAGGATTCATTCCAAGCTTCAGAATTTACTCGCTAAATATCCTTGGGCAAGTGACTTACTCTTCCTCATTTCAGTTTCCTCATCTGTAATATGGGAATAATAATAATTGCATCTACTTCAGAGTTACTCTGAGGATTAAAGAGTCAATGCATACAAAGAATTTAGAATTATACTTGGCACAAGCTATGCTCACAAGTATTAATGATTAATTGTTATTATGATAACAAGGAAAAGGTAAAAGGAACATTTTGTGAAATTGTTGTCTATGGTATGCGTGGGCATTTATACAGTTCTACTCTTGATATGTTTTGAGCATCAGACTTGCTGTCTTTTCTATATATAGTCATTTCTTTTCTAAGGACACATCTAGTTATGGAAATTAATGTCTTGCTTTGACTCATGAACTTTTGCATAGCAATATTTTTATAAGGGGCCTCTTGATAACTACCTCATAGACCTATTCATAAAAGATAGCATGGTCTGGAATTGCTTAGTTGCATTCCTGACCACCCCAAATAAAGGATAGCATTTGAAATGCAATAAAAACTAATCACGATTAATTTTGATGAAAATGTCTCTGGTTAAGGTTAATAGAGAGTGAAACTCCCACTTTCTTGGATTGTTAAGCAGATGTACTCAGATGCAGTAATTACTGCCTTCTGAAGACAGAACTATACTTTCTCAGGGCATTTGCTTTTTTAATATCACTGTTGTTTTAGGTATTTCCTGTTTATGAGTTAGCTTCTTCAGCCTTTTAATAAATGTCTGTCAACTGGGATCCAGTTTGGTTGGTTGGAAAGTTGGTTGATTGGTTAGTAGTTGTGGGATTGGTTAGTAGTTGTAGTTAGTAGTTGTTAGTAGTAGGATTGGCACCTACTAAATTTGGTTCATTCTATTCTAGTTTTTTGTAAGGGTTGGACGTGCTGACTTAATGATTTTGATCAACCAAATAACTATCATATCAAAAAAAAATCTCAGGTACAGTATTTTCTCCAACAGTAATAGCTGTTGGATGAGGTTCCAAAGGAGAAATTGAAGAGATTCAACTAGTTATAAAAATTGGAGGCAAAGTTGAATGAATGTATTCAAACCAGGACATAACAGCAACAGGCAAAAACTGGGCTATTTCAGTCCAATCTGGATATGCAGTCATGCTAAGAAACATTTCACAAACCCAACCTTCTTTAGTTCTTAGGTTTATAGTTTTATGGAAGGAATTGCAAACTCAGATGCCTCCAGGGTCTAGGCTATTAGAGTAAATAAGAAACAGGTTTTCATGTAAGAAAAAATTATGATGTTTCATTCTTTTAGCGTGTCTTAATTTAAATTTTTGGTAGAGATGTATCAGTTAGCAATTGCCATAATAATGCTGTGTAGCAAATCATCCCAAAGCTCAGTGACTTTAAGCATCAATAGTTATTGTCACAGATTTTTCAGAATGACCAAGTGCTCAGCTTCTCTGTGGACTTAAGTGGGCATTTCTGTTTCTCACTGCAGGTCTGTGGGTGGCTGGGGCAGCTCCATTCTGCAAATGTTTATTCCGAGACTCAGGCTAAAGGCAGTCATTGCCACTGGGGAAACTCTTCTGATGACAGTAGCAGGGCACAAGAGAGTAAGCAAAAACTCTCAAGGTCTCAGACGGCCTAGACCTAAACTGACACTCTGATTTTCACAACCACGGCCCCACCACTCGCCAAAGCAAGGCACATGGGTGAGCAAATTAGTGGGGATTAGGGAAGTATACTCTACCCATGAAGAGACCATTTTAAAGGGAGGAAGTACAAGGAAGGGTGAGGACTGGAGACCAGACATTGAAACTATCAAAAGAGACAACATTTGGAGAAACATTTCTCTACATAAGAAAAAACAGTAACATAAACATAATGAAAAGTTACTGCTACAGGGGCGTTAGTATATGGATCTGATAGAGGGTGGTAGGGACTGTAAGGAACCCAAGGACCCAAGGCTCATCAAAGGGATTGAGACCATTAAGCTTTGACCGAATGCTGCCAGAAAGGTGAGCCTAGGGTTGAGGGACCATTCGATTGCCATAAAATACACATTCTTATGTGAAATCTATAGATTTGGTGCATTTTAAAAAAACACTCTGGATCTAGTGAAACACACGGGCAGATGAATTGACTATTGCTTGTAGCCTCTACTGTGCATCCCTGTACTCTGGTCCCACTGGTTTCACATGATGTAAGTAAAGAGACTAGCACCCTGGCTAGCTCAACTTGATCCATTCAAGAGAGGGGGCAGTTTAATGTAATTGTCCTGAGTCCTTTTTTTGTCTGAAAATACCTTGATTAT